CAGCAGGACACAGAGACCCAGGGACCTCCTCGGAGTAGGGCTGACGGGCAGCCATTGCTGTTTGCTCCGCCCTGGTGATTCCCTGAGACTCCTCCCCACCCAATTTACAACCCTACCCAAGCTGTGCACAGAGGCTTTTGCATATGAATGGCCTGGCCTTTTGCAATCTAAAACCTAATAAACTGCAGCTGGGTCAGAGAGCCCCAGAGCTTCCAAAAGAAGGCCTAAGGCTCGACAGCAGCCTACATTACTTCATAGCTGGGCCTCATCTGGGCACCTCCAAAGCCCAAACAAAGAGGAGAAATCTGCAGATCTCTCTGTAGCTCCTGCTGGGTGGCCTCAGCGTACCCAGTGGTCAGAGTGAGAGCATACCAGAGCATACCAGATTAAAACTCTTCATTTCCTTAAGAGACACACTCAGAGGGCAGACTCAGTGAGCACCAAAGCCCCACTGAAGCAAGTCCTGCCCCATAAGGGTGTTTCCAGCACAGCAGTTCTCCCATTGTAGACACAACTGGTTCTCACAGCCAATTGGCCTGGAGGTCAATTCCTCCCAGTGATACCAACTACAATCAAGGCTTAACTACAACAAGACTGTGCACACAGTCCACAAAGGGGTGCACCAACAGTGTCCATCTCAGGTAATTAGGGAGGCTGAGCCACTGGGCCCTATAGAACACCTAGCACACAAAGCCACTCTATCAACACAGGGAAGCAGCCAAAATGCAGAGACAAAGAAACCGGTCACAAATGACAGAAATGGAGGAAAGCAAACTACAGGATATAGAGAATCCAAAAATATGAAGATAGTGTAAGGAGCCTCTGGGACAACTTCAAAGCATACCAACATCCGAATTATAGGGGTGCCTGAAGATGAGAGAGAGCAGGATATTGAAAACCTATTTGAAGAAATAATGACAGAAAACTTCCCCCACCTGGTGAAAGAAAGAGACTTACAAGTCCAGGAAGCGCAGAGAACCCCAAACAAAAGGAATCCAAAGAGGACCACACCAAGGCACGTCACCATTAAAATGCCAAGAGCAAAAGACAAAGAGAGAATCTTAAAAGCAGCAAGAGAAAGAAACTCAGTTACCTACAAGGGAATACCCATACGACTGTCAGCTGATTTCTCAATAGAAACTATGCAGGCCAGAAGGGAGTGGCAAGAAATATTCAAAGTGATGAATACCAAGAACCTACAACCAAGATTACTCTATGCAACAAAGCTATCATTTAGAATTGAAGGTCAGATAAAGAGCTTCACAGGTAAGAAAAAGCTAAAGGAGTTCATCACCACCAAACCAGTATTGCATGAAATGCTGAAGGGTATTTTTTAAGAAGAGGAAGTCAAGAAGGTAAAGATAAAAATTATGAACAACAAAGTGACAACAAATACATATCTATCAACAAGTGAGTCTAAAAATCAAGTGAATAAAAAATATGACGAACAGAATAAACTGGTGAATAGAATAGAATCAGGGGCATAGAAAGGGAGTGGACTGACAATTCGAGGGGGGGAAAGGGTTTGGGGGGTGCAGGAAGAGACTGAACAAAAAATCGTACACCTATGGTCAAGGACAGTGGGGGGTAAGAGGATGGGGTGGGGGGGAACCAGGTGGAGAGGAGCTATGGGGTGAAAAAAGAGGAACAACTGTAATAATCTGAACAATAAAGATTTTTTTTAAAAAAAAGTATGAAGTGGAAAATTGGGTCTCTGAATGGTTTGCCTCTAAACAAGAAAAGTTCTATTGGGACACTATCCACAAATTACCTGAAAGATGGGGGAAATGTGTAGCTATCGATGGACATTACTTTGAATAAAGCACTTTTGATGTTTCTCTTGAAATTATCCTGTTTTCTTGGATTACAAAATCCGAATTATTAATCAGTACACCTGGTAGTGAATGAGTGCATTTTACAGTACTCAGATTTCAAATAGAATTAAAAGAATTTTCACATATTTATCCTCAGTTGTCTTAGCTTCCTCTCCTTTCCCAAACAATCTTGCAAATGAATGTCCAAAAGATTCTACCAAAACCAATATTCACCTTACTATATACAGATTAATCTCTGAGGGGAAGTAGCAAACAAGCTAAATTTACTTGTATTTGATAGGGCAATTAATAAAGTTATTTCTCACCTGCATATTTAAAAACACACACACACACACACACACACACACAGGATCATGTGGTGACTGTAGAGCTTGTCAGGGGAGAGCCAGATGTGGGGTCCAGGCTTGCTAGGGCTTCCCTGCCCCCAGCGGTGTCAGTATTACCACCTGACAAACTCCAGGACACAGTGCCCCCCCAGAGAAGAGAGGTGACAAATGTGAGGGCACTAGGCCTTTCTTCTCGCCAGGGTCTGAGAGGTTCTTTCCACAGACCATCTCCTTAATCTATTCTAGGTCCCAGGAAGGGGGGAAAGAGTGGGTTCTTGGTACTGACAACTTGATCCTGTGGTTCACCTTAGGCCAGTGACAGCGAACCTATGACAAGCGTGTCAGAGGTGACACGCGAACTCATTTTTTTTTGGTTGATTTTCCTTTGTTAAATGGCATTTAAATATATAAAATAAATATCAAAAATATAAATCTTTGTTTTACTATGGTTGCAAATATCAAAAAATTTCTATATGTGACAGGGCACCAGAGTTACGGTTTTTCAAAATGCTGACACACCAAGCTCAAAAGGTTTGCCATCACTGCCTTAGGCCATGCCGCTGCCTGACTGTTCCCTCCCAGGGACTGACTCCTAGCCTGAGTTTCCCTTGGCAGATGGGCTCTTGCATAGGGTTCTGCACTTGCTAAGGTTTCCCATCAAAGAGGCCAGGAAGGATTATCACAACACCTCCCCTACATGAAGGTATTGGCCAGGCCCCAGCCACAGGGAATTCCTTGCCCTGATCCCTTCCCACACCGAGAAATAGCTCTCAATTTTTAAATTTTTGTTTGAAATGAAGTCCTTAGTTAGCCATGAAAAACAAAAACAAACCTAAAGCACTTTTGTATTTAATATGCTCAGGGTGACTGCAAATGAAAACTCTTATTAGACTTTTGGGACAAGTTTGTTCTAACAGCAAAAAAGAAACAAAAATTAAGTGTCAAAAGTTCAAATGAAGTACTTAAGTTTTTTTTAAAGTTTAATTTGAAGGACTGAATGCTCTCTCTTTACATTTGTTTTTCAAATTTTAAATACTTTGTTATGAATATTCTTTGTGGAGGTACACTTTTTATTGTGACAAGTAGTCCAATACAAGCCACTATAAAAGCGAAGTATTTTTGTGAAAAGCACAAGTGAAACCAAGAGATACAAAAGTAAAAAAATTACATAAGGTAGAAACTGCAGTCTTTTTTAAACTACTCAAATCCAAAAGCATCACATTTAAACCTTAACAACATTACAATATTTATAGTTTGGTAATATGACTGCCAGCTTCTAATTTAAAAAAGTATTTGGGGGGGCGGCGGGGGGGGGGAGATCAGGATGGTCAAGCCATAACTCCCATTTGCAGTATTATATGAAATATGTTATGTGCTGGGCACATAGTAAACAGAGAACTTTTTTTCTCTTTTTGACTTATAAACAGAAATATATTTCTCCCAGTTCTGGAGACTGGGAAACCCAAGGTCAAGGTGCAGGCCGATTCACAGCCTGATGAGGGCCAGTTTCCTGGTTCATAGATGGCCATCGTTTTGCTGTATACTCATATGGTGCAAGTGGGCTGCTGCTGCTTTTTTTTTTTTTAATAAAAAAAATCAAGATTTTTAGTTTTCACTATAAAAATAAAGTCTCATATTCTTATTTTTTGATTGTTAAAAGTCACTGATGGGTTTTTTTAATTTTAAAGATTTGCTTAGTCTTTTAGTTAAAGACTAAGCAAAAAACTATTTTGATAAATAGAAAATCTAAACTTTTAGTACACTTATGTTAATACCTAAAGTTGGGAAAAGCTGATTTAAAAAACATTTTGGCCAACACTAATTTTGCAAAGTATCAGGACCCTGAAGATTTACTAAGCTGAACATCCTATCCTTAAAAAAGTCACCTTTTTGCGATACAGGATTCTAATTTCTGCGTTTTTACAATTTTTGTTTATTTAATCTGAGTCTTTGAAACCTCCGAACCCATTTACCTTATTATACTACATTACTGCTCTGCTTCTAATACATAACTAGGTAACAACAAAATCACTTAAAGTACAATGTCGAAAACTGCTGGGATTTTGTTTTTGTTTTTGGGGGTGGTTTTTTTTTTTTTTTTTTCTACTTCTCTGAATGCACAAGAGAAAACCTGAAAGGTACAAAGGCAACTCTTGGGAGGCGGGTGTAGGGAAAATGAGGGTGACGATCCAGTTGTCCCGGAGAGAACGGTTGTCAGAAGAGCAACTACGGGCTTTTTCACACTGGAAATTGCCAACTGAGAATCAGCCTCCCCGCCCGCTCCACGCCCTCCGGCTGCCGGGAGCCCTACTCCCTCGCTCCACACACTCCGCAGGGGAAGGCGTCTATCGCTCGCGGGTCCCGTCCAACGACCCGAATTAACCTTCACCGAGCGGGGCAATGGGCTGCCTGGCATAACCCTGGGAAAAGGCAGAGGAAGAGAACCGGGTGGAAAGCTCTAGGAGCGCCTCCGCCAACGCCACGCCGACTCATGCCCAGCTCCGCAGGCAGCAGGGGCCGCCATGGCGGGACACCGCCGACCGGTCCTCGGTACTGACAAGTGTCCCCACGTCCTCGCCTTTCAGTATCTACCCTTCTCATTCCCTACCTTCCGCATTCCCACCATTCTAGGAACAAAAAGGAAGTGAGCAGTTGTGCCTGGAGGAAAGGAGAGAGGCTTGGCCGTCCTGGGAAGGGCCCCGGAGAAGGCAGGCTAAGGAAGGCTGCTGGCGCTGTTCTTCCCACCCAGGGGAGGGTCAGCCCGCTAGGCCGCGAAGCCGGGGACTCGCGTAGCGAGAGACACCGAGCAGAGGCGCTGCGGGGCGACGCACGTACTCACCAAATCTGGAACTTGAGCAGCGGGCCAGTGGCGTACTGCATCTTTAATCTCTTGCTAGGCACGCCGCCCAGGTTGGCCGAAACGTCGCTCCGGACCAGCGCAGACGCCGCCACCAGGAGTAATAGCAAAAGCTTCATCTTCCTCGAGCCAGCCACTTCAGCCGCACTCAGACTAAGCCTGCAGCCAGCCAAGGCCCAGCGGGAGCCGGGAGCCGCGCCCACAGCGCAGGCGCGGTCCGCCAAATTCGGGGAGGGAGGCAGGAATGCGCCTGCGCGGCCCGATTCCTGCGCATGCGCCCGGACGGGGACTGACTTGTTTCACTGTCAGGCACCACCATCTTGGTTGTGTGCGTAGCCGTGGACTCTGGGTGAAAAGAGAGAAACAGGGCGGGGAATGATCAGCTGGTGGAATGTCCCAGTAGCCTATTAACTGTAGCTGCTGGCACACCTGGGTTCTACACACAGTTTCTTACTAGACAGACTTGATTCAAATGTGGGAGAGAAAAGAGAAAGCCCAGGCCCTCCTAACCGGAATGCATAACTGTTCTGGGGTGTCTTGCTGTGGAGTTTTATTTGATCTTATAATATTGCTCTCTTGAAAAATAATTTTTTAAAAAAAGAACTTTGGAAAATTTCAATTGTATACAAGAACAGAATGACCTTAATGACCTTTAACAATTAATGGTATTTTTAGTATCTTGATTGTCTATAGCTCTAACTTCTCCACCCAGAGAAGCAAATATCAAACATCATATCATTTCATCCATAGATATTTAAGCATGTACTTATGAAAGAAAGAAAAAAAGAAAGAAAGACAGGTTTTAAAAATAAAAACCTGACCACAATTACCATTATCCCACCTTAAAAAAGTTATTGTTTTTAATATCAAATATCCAGTCAATGTTCAGATATCTCCTGTTTTAGTAAATATTTACTTTTCTATTGTTCATTTATTCAAATCAGGAACAAAGTAAAATTAATCTATTGGCATTAGTTGATAAGTCTTTTGGTCCTGTCAAAACCTTGAAGTCCAAGAATACACCAGGGATTGAAAAAGTTTCCTATATTATTCATTGCAGCAAAGGGGAACACACACCTCGGGGAAGCAAGGGCAGTCTCAGTAACAGGGTGTTAGAAAGATTATAGTATCTGGGCTTTGACTGGATGATTTGGGAACAGTGTTTGGGGTGGCAATGGAAATTTTGGTCATACCTTTAAAAAAAGTCTCAGTATTAATAAGCACTGGTATTTCTGATTCATTTAGCCCAGGTATTGCAATCATGAAATACATCAGATATGAGCTGGAGAAACAGTTGAATAGGAAGTTCTCAATAAATGTATGTACATAGTTCCTCATATCCAATAGCTTAAATGTAGTACATGATCAAAATGTTTTTCCTAATTTAAGAATGCAGTGCAAGTCTGAAAATATTTCACAACAGTTAATTTGAGCTCACTTAAACATTAAGTGACTAATACAAACCTTAGATGTCTTAGGACTATAGGAACTACAAAATCATATCTTAATTAGTATCAATGGGAATTGAACTTTTGAAGTAAGAGAAACAGATTTAAGTTAATGTAGTAAAAAAATACATCATGAGAAAGTTCAGATAATTTAAGGGCAGTTTTTTTAATTATTAATACATTTTTTTTATTGGCTTTAGAGGAAGGGCAAGAGAGATAGAAACATCAATGAGAGAGAAACATCTATTGGCTGCTTCCCGAACGCCCCCCACTGGGGACTGAGCCCAAAACTTGGACAAGTGCCACGACTGGGAATTGAACCAGAAACCTCTTAGTGTATGGAAAGACACAATCCACACCAACTAGGCAAGCTTACAATAACTTTTTAATTTAAAAAAAAATCTATTGGAAATTCTTTGTAGTAATGAATTAGAGGAGAAATATATTTCAATAGAATTTGATAAAATTAACTCATTAATTATAAAATTGCTCAGCGCCTTAAAGGAAATGTTTTTAATCTGATAAAAGGTATGTAACAAAAAGTGCAAACATCATGCTTAATTTGAAACATTAGAATACCAGAATTTCCAACTGAAATTCCCTTTCAGTTGGAAACAGGTTAAGTATACCCACTCTCACTGTTCCTATTCAGCATTGTGCTGAATTGTACAATTGTGAACTATACCTAGAAATTTTACCTATATCTATAACAAGAAAAGGAAGGAAAACATGTGGGGACTGCAAAGAAAAAAAAACTGCCATTGTTTGCAAACAATATTATCATACATAGAGAAAACCAAAAAAATCTACAAACTTTGAGTACAGCAAGGTTGCTAGATACAAACTCAATTCATAAAAATCAATAGTTATCTCTCATGAATAATTAGAAAATGTAATTTTTAAAATATCCTTTAAGCCCTAACTGGTTTGGCTCAGTGGATAGAGCGTCAGCCTGCAAACTAAAGGGTCCCAGGTTCAATTCTTGTCAAGGGCACGTACCTTGGTTTTGGGCACATCCCCAGTAGGGGGTCTGATGAGGCAGCTGATCGATGTTTCTCTCTCATCGATGTTTCTGACTCTCTATCCCTCTCCCTTCCTCTCTATAAAAAATCAATAAAATATGTTAAAAAAATAAAATTAATAAAAATATCCTTTAACTGTATTTCATAGAATAAATCTAAAATGAAGCATGCAAAACCTTTACATACACATACACACACCTTTCTATTCACTCTTTAAGGCGAATTCAGTTTCTTCAGTGAAGTCTGTCCTCCCTGCACTGTCTCTGAAGCCCTCAGCATTGACCTCCCTATTTAGTCATCACATTTCATTGAAATCACTTATCACTACCTTAGCCTCTTCTGCTCTTAGCTGAGCTTGGTAAGGACAGGAACTGTCATTCATCCTTGTAGCCCAGGTGACCATAGAGTTCTTGCAATAATAACAATGATAATACAATAATCTATAATAATAAAAGCATAATATGCTAATTAGACCAGACATCCTTCTGGACAACCTTCTGGATGAAGCCGGGACTGCAAGGGAAGCCCAGATCCCAGGTGCCTGCCAGCAGCCGGAGGGAAGCCCAGTTCCCAAGTGCCAGAGGGAAGCCGGTGCTGGCAGCTGGGGGAAGGAAGGCCTACTCTTGCACGAATTTTGTGCATCGGGCCTCTAGTAATAAAATAAGAACAAATAATTTCAGCTACTATTTATCAAATTCCAACTATATACAAGGTGCTGGTAAGTCCTTTACATATATTGTTTTTATTCATTTATTAAGTAAAAGTGACACAGCAAATGTTTGAATGTAATCATGTCATGGATGGTTAACATTTTAAACAGTGAAGAAGAAAGGAGAGAACATAAGCAAGGCCATCACTGCTGTCCTGGAGGTGTGGTCCCTCTAGCAGGAGAATGGGAAATCAGATTGGGAATGTAGGTGGGACAGATTGTGGAAGGCCTTGAATGCCAGGCTAAGCAGTTGGAATTTTTTTTTTCTATAGAAAAATGGGAGCAATTGAGAAGTTGGTCACATTATCAAATGACTGTCTTAGTAATACTGAGGCATTAACTGAAGTATGGTAGCAATCATCTCGGGTAGAAACTATAGTTTAACTTTAACCCTGCTGTTTGGCTTCTGTATTTATTTGCTTTGTTTAACAATAGAAAAGTTATTTTGATTTTCTGAATTATATAAATCATCCCATTCGATTAAATACCCTATTGATTGTAATGTGAAATCCCATTTGTTGTGGTCATACTGGTCTTAGAAAGCACATTTTCCTTTACCTGTGAAGGACAGCACAATTAACATGCTTAAGTCTGACCAGGTTCCTCATTCCAGACCCTAGGGCTCTAGGTAATGTGTTTCTGTCAATTCAGTGATCCGGAGACCCAAAACTATAATTTAGATAGCATGCTGCTTCTGCTTCTATAAACTGCTTTTTTGCGAACCAGGTTCCCCATTCCAAACCCTGGGATGTAATCAATACCTTTGTGATCTTTGCCTATATAAGTCTGGTTTTGCGACCATCTTATTACTATGAGATTTGGGACAGCAAGATGCCCCCTCATAGTCCCGGATTGCAATAAATGTGACTCTTTAATTCGACTTCTTGAGGCATCCTTCTGGGATTCGCGGGGTACATTACAACATAACTATGTGCATAAAAGTTGAAGTAGAAAGCATCTACAGGTAGGGCATCATACCTAACAGGGAGACAGTTACCACAGAACAGTCATTGTAAACCAATTGGCATAGTGCAAAACCAGGGCACAAAGAATAATTATATTTGGTGTGTTATTGATGAAAGACTTTTTAAAGATGACTATAAAATAAGAAAATATGCTAAGTGGGGCCAATGAAATGTGCAAAAGTAGCAAATGGAGAATCTTATTAAGCCTAGGAGGTTTCTACTGCTCGGGCTCAGACATATGGGGTGTGGCTGGCAGTCAGACGTGTATATCTGGGGGGGGAGGGGTGAATGAATGCTTCTGGGAAATAATGCATCTTAATAGAAAAAGGGACCAAACATCAAGAACCTAGGCAGCAAGAAAGCACAGGTCTCTGGTGGAAAGATGATTCCAATCCCAGCACAGTCACGTATGTGACTGGCATTTAGAGTCCATCCCCATCCCAGCCTAACTAAACTCAAAAAAGTGACAGGTCTAAAAGTCTAAAAATGTGGCACAACACTGGAACCCTAAAAGCACAATTTTCAACAACTTTCCCCCAACAAAAGAATATAATACAAATGGAAGAGAGACATTCTCCATCTTATTCAGAGACACAAACTCTGGCACAATGAAGGCTCTAGCACAGTGATGGCGAACCTATGACACGGAAGGTGACATGCGAACTCATTGTTTTGGTTGATTTTTCTTTGTTAAATGGCATTTAAATATATAAAATAAATATCAAAAGTACAAGTCTTTGTTTTACTCTGGTTGCAAATATCAAAAAATTTCTATATGTGACACGGCACCAGAGTTAAGTTAGGGTTTTTCAAAATGCTGACACGCCAGGCTCAAAAGGTTCGCCATCACTGCTCTAGCATTTCAGGGTTGTGATACACAAATTGTGTCAAGATAGTGAAAGAGACCCCAGTGCTCAGTGGAGCAGTCCCCAGTGCCAGCAGCGGGTGGGGTGTCCAGCAGAGCAGAGGTAACATTCATCTGAAGACCTATGGTACATGTGGGGTGAAAGGATTCAGAGAAGGCCTCCCCGGTGTGAATTATTCACTATGTCATGTGAATTATTTTGAGCTAAAGGCAGTTCA